ATATAAATCGCATATGCATTGTATGTTTACGTCGTATAGTATAATCGTAAGTCGATGAGGTTTATCATCCACTCGATAGTGTATATTGGTATTTTTCCACTCTTATTTTGAATACACAAATAAATGTCAGAATTTCATTTATTTTAACCTGTATTAATTAGCCTTTCATTAACTTGTTTGTATAAATGCCAATTATGACGTGGCTATGCATTTTATCTTAATATTAAGAAGTTATATTTAAAGTAATAATAACAATTTGTCGCTATTCAAATAGAAAACTATTTTATCCATTAAAAATTATAATTTTACATATAATGTAATGTTATAAATAAATAATATCTTTTAAACATTACTTTTAAATATTAAGAGTTACAGTAAATCTGTAAATATTAACGCTCAGTATATGCTAAAATTAACCGGCTTATGTATCACATGTATATACATTTTTGATATCAAACTAATGTAATTCAATTATGATAAAACGCGAGAGACATAATTTTATAATTCTGAAAGTTTTTAACAAATCATTTAATTGTTCGATTTAAAATTATGAAATTTAATCATTCAATATTGTGGTTGTTGTGTGCTTATAATTTTAAGTTTTGTTGATTTTAATGAATTTGTAAAGTCATTCGATAGCTTATAAATTTGTTACAGGAATGTCTTATTAAATAAAAATTATGCGGAGATGACTAAATGTGCAAATAAGATAATAATAATCTCTTATAAAGTAATGCAACACAAAGTAATGCTACAACAGTTGGAATTGGTCTGTTAGTCATCCTTTTAATCACAATCGCTATATCTTTAATCTGTATTTGAATGATGGTGATAGTTTAATTCTTTTTTATTTTTCTATTTTTCATTTATATTTCACTGTACATTTTGTTTCTGTTTCAATTCGACTAGACTTTTCCTCGCACACATAATCTTGATAGAATGTATATAAAAAGTATGTATATTTTCTCAGCAATACAAAGACTTTTTGTATAGAAAATTTATCATTTAATTATTCTGTTAAACTTTGAGTGAATTTTGATTTGTATTTTTACATGAATTATATATTGATGCTTAGATAATATACACTTTAATATTTCTTATTCTCATATTATTTAAGCAGTTATTTATCTGTATTTACGCCGTAAAGAATTTAAATGCCATTATTTACTCTCATTATGTAAGTAATCAATAATATTTATATAACGATAGCTAATTGTGTAATAATATATCACCATTCCTATATTTTATCAAGTTTCGTTTACACTAACTAAATTTTAAACATAAGGGGAGTTTATGAGAAGACTATAAATTTTCCAATGTAACGATATTGTTTTTGTTATTACATAGCATAATGATATGGAAAGTTAAGTTATAATTTTGAAAAAATGATAAATTTTTAAACATCTGCAAAGAAAATTACGACAATTTTCACCGTTTAAATATTAGATTTTTTAACGATAAAAGATAAGGATGATAAAGAGTGCCTTTCCTTCAAATCAATGATAGAGTTAACAATAAAAATCTATCATAATTAATTAAAAACGTAAAGTAGAAGTTTAAAAATTACAGTGCATAATATACAATATTATACAATACGTATACAATATTTTTTTTGTAACTCAACAATATAAATATCGAATACAGCGAACAATATAGATATTCAATTTTATCAAAAAAAATTTTATGCATTGAAGTATAGTCGAGCAGATTAACAAAAAAGCATCGATGTTCCAGGAGGATGGGCTGAGAAGTACGAAGAGACAACAATGATTTGTATGGTTTGAGTTAAACTCAATCGATCTCATATAAGTAATTGTTAGAAGTAAAGTAGTGTTTAAGCTAAATTCTAGCCAATGCAAATGCACATTGTCGACAGCCCCGTAAAATTATCATATAAAATTATTCTATATAAAAATTAACACATAAATTGGCTGACAAAGAGCATCAAAGCTTCTCCCTTTCTTTCATTCCTTTCTTTTCCAATGTATGATATCATTTATTAACTGCTGTTCAATTTCGTGCCAATATTTTAGATGCAGAGAGAAAGAGAAAGAGGACCATCATTATTATGAATTATAAGAGCTTAGTAACGTAATCTCATGATAAATAGCGGCACCTGAATACTTCCCTTACATAATATTTGGCGAGTGTTGATAGAAATGTGATATAAAATGGAAACAATAAAAAATGATCATATTTATAAACTATTCTGTCAAAAAAATATATATCAATTTACAATAATTATTTAAAAAGACCATGAGGCACATTCGGTCCAGCTAACAACATGTTATTGTATACTGGTGATACTGCAATAGCGTCACTCCACCAGAATTAAATTAGTATATTTTATCCATTAATTTACATTATATTATCTATAATATATACATATGAATCCAACTTAGTGACGATGAACTTTTCTAAAATCGGATAATTGTTACTCGACAGAAGTCGTTTCTTTTGACACTTTTCATATTTAGGATGATTACAGCATCCCGATATACAGTATTCGAGGATTTAAAGAATTTTAAGAAAGACATTTTATACTGAATAAGCTCTGAATTGAATTAATATTGTTAGTTTCTCGTTTAAAACTCTTGTTTGTATTTTAATATATACCTCCATTAATTCAAGATACTTATGTGTTTAAATTTAATGTATCGTAACTGTCACAAACATTTAGGAGGAATTCAATGAACTAATCACGAAGTCACGCTATTGCTAGTATACTTTGAAAAATATGCCTTTTATCAATAATACTTGATTAATCAGTATTTATTCATTTTTGAATTATCATAAATAAACAAACAATACACAGAAATTTAATTTTTCATGACGTTACGAAAAAAAAATTCAATTTTATTATTTTAGTCATGACTCTTATAGCTTATTATTATTACAATTTATAAATTAAAATAAAATTTAAAAATATGCGTGAAATAATATTTAAAAAATAAATAAAACTGTATTTCATAATGACAGAGCCAATTACGTAATAAATGAAGAAGCAATAAATTTTTTTTTTTTTTTGGATAACAAAAAATTTATGCAAAAATTTATCCTAAAATATTTTAATAAATTATTAAATTGTATATAAAGTCACTAAATTGTTTGGTTATAAATTGTTGAAGTGTGAATATATTAGCTTTTGTAGACATAATATTAGAAATATAAATATATTTTTTACAAATAATTATATATATATATATATATATATATATATATATGAAATTCACTGAATTATAATTTAAAATTTTTGCATAAATTATAAAATTTAAAACTGATGCGAAATATCTATTTTATTTAATATAGTTAAAACTCCGATGTTAGCATTTTAAATTATAGATGCAATTACTATTTACTCCTTAAAAAATATATTTTCCTTCTTCCTTTATCCTTTGTAGGCTTATGCTTTAATAAGTTATCCTGTGTATTTATTAAAATACTCAAAATTACATTTCAAAATAAATGACTTCAAAAAATCTGAAGTTAAGAAAAATAATTAAAGTATCAACAATAAATGTAAAATAAAAATTATTTGTGCAATTCTGAATATCTATTGCTAATCCAATAATCGTTGCTTAAACAATTAATGATACTATGACAATTATGTTGAATCTATACAAGTTTTGATAAATATATGATACACTCACTGTTAATTTTACCAATAGTATTGTTTTCCTTAGCCGAATATATTTTATGTTTAATAGCATCCAAGTCTTGAATTTATTATTATCATATGTGGTCATGCTGTTATGCAAATGCACGCTAATAATAGATACAAAAAATACATCGCGACAGTCAAATACGGCAGTAAATTGTGATTAAAGTAAATAAGATTATTAAGTTGCCAAATTTGATTGGCACAAACAAGAAAGTAATTTCCTTCATTACTTTTGTAGCTTAATATTAATAATTTTCTTAATTTACGAAAAGTTGAACTTGTTTAAGTCTTGATTTAATTATAAAAATATGTAAAACAAGTTTCAAAATTTTATCAATATTAAACAAATACGATATAAATGTGTATATATGTAATACGAATAGGGAAACATTGAGAACTGATTTTCAGAACGTAATGACTAATAAGCAAAAATCTCTTCTTCAATCATCACGAACGGAATAGATAAAGGAATACAAACACTCGAATGAATTAACGAATACGTTCTCAGGAAATGTGCAGTCACGAATTTCAAAAAAATTTTATTTTAATATAAGAAAGTACATAATTTTAGAAACATATTTGTAAATTTAAAGTAGGCAGAATAATACAATTTTTCTACCTATGCGAGAACCATCATTATGTAGTTCTGTTATATCATGTGAATACTTGGGCAAGTAAAAGTTTAATATCAATACCAACCACGTTTTTTTACCATATTGGTAAAAATACTAATTTGTTTTATTAAAACTAATAATTCGAATTATCGAAGGGCTTTTAGATTATTGAGAGGAAATAGTTAAAAATTTCTGGATAAATAATATTCAAAAATGCTTTTACAAACATTGTAGAATATTAAAGCTTTTTGTAATATTTATTGATTTTGCAATTTCAGTACACCACAGAATTAGTAATGATAACGTAACATTTAATGAAAATTATTTAAGTATATAAATTGAATAAATAATTTTATTTAGGTTTCGTCAGTACTTAGAACTTTAAATACAATTAAAAATTTATTTTTTCCAAATTAATGATCAGGATTGTTCAGAAATTCTTAAAATGATCTAGTTGAAATTTTGTAAACTTAATCTAAATATGATGAATTAACCACGTAAAAAAAAAGTTCTAATATGATACTTTCACTATAATTTATTAACTAATAATTGTTTTAAAAAAATCATACAATACTATTTTATTTTCTTTAATTTCTGAAGAAATTAATAAAATCTTTTGTTTAAAAATTGAAGTAAGTATTTAACAAATAAAAAGCTTTTTTTAATTTTAGATTTTCAGATAGTTTAAAAAAACAAATAATAAATAAAACAAAATTACAGTGGTCGTTATTTTTTTTCGATACTCATTTATTTAAACTTACTTATTTTTTGATTTTCTGACTGCACATAATCTTTAAAACTACCTTAAACGCTTTCGGTGGGACTTTGGAATTCGGAAAGCGCATGAATAGGATTTTGAATTTTTTTCTGAGATCCTTTGCGCACCTTGGCGCGAACCTCTTCAGGTCGTTCTGGACGTACAAGTGGTTTCTTTTCTGGAGCTTTCATCTTCCACACGACAATTGGAGACTGCAATGAAATATGCAATATTTAGTTAATATAAAAATTTTTTCATACCTGTAACAGACAATCCACAATTTATACGAAATATAATTGATGGACTATTATAAGTACATGCATTGAAATAAAAATTTTGTTGACCAAAAACAAAAATTTTATTAATTGAATTGTCTGAAAATTTATTCTTTATGCTAGTTTCTAAATTAGATTTTTTAAATAAGTTTTCGTTATTGAACACTTAAATATTACTTACATATAGCATAATTTCTTATATTATTGTAAAAAATATTCCTGTACTGTAAATGAAGGAATAAAAGGCGTATAAATAATATAATCTAATACTCTATTTAGAGCAACTAATACGATAAAATAAATTAGTATATACCAAAAGATTAAATACTGCTCACTAATATTTGAATATTTATTCATAATATTTCTCATAAATATTACAAATATTTATTTATTATTACTAAATAATGACTAGTTGAACAGTGTCGTAAAACAAAAACGTAAGTAAAATTTTGTAGTTTATCGAAAGTAATTAACACACAAAGAACATGGATTTTTTTGTTTGTAATAATTGTTAAACAAGCATAATTAAATTTATTATCATTATTTCGATAATAGGTATTGAAACATTTCAATGCTATTTATCCAAATAAATGTATGCTATTTTGGAAGAATAGATTGTAAAATTGTAATTATTTTATTACATTTAGTAAACACTGCATTTAGTAAAAACTATAATACTGCAAATATAAGTTTAAAAATGGTTTAATCCTTCGTTTTTAGGATTTTTAAAAATTTTTCAATGTTTTTTATATATTTTTTGTAATCCATTATCAACAATTTTTATAATAATCTTCATTGATTGATTTATTATGTTCGTAAATATTGAAGCGTTCGGAATTTAATTATTTAAAATAAAAAATCAATGCAATTTAATAAATTAAACGTAAATATTGTATAGTACATTTTAAAATGTAAAAATATTTTATAATTATATGCTTACATACTATTTTGTCCAAAGATAAGTTAGCAAGCGATAAACATAGCAATTTTATTAACCAGCATGTATATAGATTAAAAAATTATTTTAAGAAATTATTTTTCTCATGAGGCATAAGCCAAACATGTTAAATTATAAATTATAACTGTTGTATTAAATTTTATAATATTGTGCTAGAACATAATTTGATTTATTTTAATGAAAAATAGCTAATTGTATTTGATTGTCTAATGAGTGCTATAAACATTACATATTTACAATGTATGCTCACATAATAACATTTGTAAAACAAGTACAAGGGAATTTAGATGTTAAAAATTTTAAATTACATTTATGTATTTTGTCAATTAATAATATAAACAAATCGAAGCAATAATAATTATGAAATAAGCAAATCGATAAATTAATAAACCAAAAATAATTACTATTAATATATATTTTTAAAAAATGCTGTAAATAATTTTTCAATATCCAAAATCCCTTTTTTATGGTTATATGCGTGTGAGAAAAGCATTAGCAAAGCGAGTGTTAATTAAATGTCGACTGCAACTCAGGTCATCATTCGTTACTTCGACATTATGAAACAACTGAGTCTATAGTTATAATGATTTGTGCGAGTGTTATAAATATATTTATAACGGCAGTCCTAAATAAATATTATTTTGGTGCAAGCTTAGTTATACCAGTGAAACGGAGTAAGTAATAGATAAATTGTATGATACGGGTAAGTAGAGCAGGAGCGGCTCTCGCGGCCCTTGTTTCTCACTTCCATTGTCTTCAATGGTCTATAAACATCGTAAGCCCAAAATCTTTATTGTTTTAGCTAAGTTTATCTAGCAATTACTACTTGAATATTCTTAGTCGGATATTTCTTATACTTTATAATTTATATGCAGACTACTAACAAGTATATTATATCATTAATGAAATTGATTATCAATGTACTTTTTAAGAAATATTTATGTAACGATAATATTTGATGTTTCAATTTTACTTGTAAGTAGAGTTTTATTTTTTCAACTTCTCACATTGATCCTTTATAAAAAAAATTCATGTTTACATCGTTATGTGTAACTATAATAATATTACAAATATAGTAAGCCATCTTATTTTTCAAACAAGTTGTATCTTTATATTTCAATATTAGATCGAGTTTAATTATTTGTTTGATTCTTTATAATTCTTTTATATATTTTTTTTATGCGAAAAAATATGAAATTGTTGGAATTTTATTATCAGAATAGGTGTACAAAAATTATTGTCCTTTTTTAGTAAACAACGATTAATTTTAAGTGCCACGTTTTAAATATGGGATGAATTGTTGAATTGAAAGGAAGAAGATATTTAAAAATTGTTTATTTGAAAAATGAGACACAAAGAAATAAAGAATTATTAACTCCTAAAGTGATTTTAGATTTAAATTTGTAACTACGAAAATATTTTTCTTTAAAAAGAACCATATTTTATTATACAGCGAATCCCGCCTCTAAATATTATAAATTTATAAATCAAAAAATAAGAATAAAGCATAGACGGAGACTCACCGTGACGGTAGATTGGCGAGGATATTTGGTGCTGGCGACGTAAGACGACTTAACTGTTAGGACTACTGCATTCATCAGATTTTTTGCAGCCTGAATAAGGGACGTGGCACTGTCGAGTCCCGACACGATAAGTTCGCCACTAATGCTCTGCACGTCAGCCTTGACTTTACTGGTGATATTCATCTGGTGACAGTATAGGGCAATTCTTTGCAAGTAGGCCAGCAAGTCCTGCTTGGTTGAGCTCTCAGGGCATTGCTCTGCGATCTGCCTTGTGAGCTTGTCCAGCTTCGTACCGTACTCCGAGATCTTCTTGGCCGCGTTAATGACGTCCATGGTAGTCTTGAGGGGACCACGGCCTCGAGCGAAGTCCGTCATCTCCATCATAATCATACACATATGCTTGGCAAGGACAATAATGTCATTGCCAGCGTCATCCCATTTAGCCACTTCTCGATCGAATTTTAATTTCTCGCTTTTGAAGTGTTCAACCTGCTGTAAAATCTTCTGTTTGTCTTCCTCCGTCATTTTGCGCATGGCTTCGCGGGCAGTGGTTATTCCACTAATGTCCGGGTATTCATCCTCGCCTTGCTCACCAGTTTGGGCACTCGATTTGCTTCGCGTTTCTAGAGTATAATGTTCATCCAGCTCCACGTCTTCCGGATCCAAGTCCTCGTCGGCCTGCAAAATATTAATTTCTTAGAAATGTATAAAATGTAATATAAATATATAAACATGCAATTATGTGACTATATAATAATGACAATTGCAAATACATTGCACTTTAAAACTTTATGCTTTAATACCACTAACTACTTATGTCTCAATCGCTCCCACACGCTCATTCATTTTCATTAATGGAGTTCAAACGATTTCAATCACTAATTTTATAATTGAATTTCAAAAGGTATATGAAATTCTTTTATTATTCAAGTTAAATAAGCGTGTTTTAAAGAACCACCTTTAAATTAAAAATCTTCATTTTAACAATAGTTGATAAATCTTATTTATTTCAAATTATATAAATATTGACATTTCTGATAAAAAGGATTTATCAATTATAAGACTTCTTGTAAAAGGAGCATGGAAGTTCATATTTGCTTAGTTTGATGGAATCTACGAGTACGCACTTTCGCTATTATTGGAAAAAAGTATAGCACGATGTATGAATGATACAAATTTATAAGAATGTAATGAATAATTAGAGTTTAAAAGGATGAGTTAATAGCATACCCTATTCATAAGTACGGCGCGTCTGATCTCTCTGACACCGTCATACACGAGTCTAGACGCATCGATGAAATCGTTCTCATCAACATCCTTGGGTGGTGTACTGCCAAGGGCGTCTACGGCAACCTCAACTCTTTGGGCGAATTTGGGCATCACCTGCTCACGCAGAACCTTAACAGCCTCGAGTACTCTTTTCGTGTAAATACAAGGCTCGTAATTATCCATTTCGGCCTGAACGACGTTGCAAACACGAGCGGATCTACCTCTGATTGCTCCAGCGGTCCTATCCAATGTGTCGGCATCACCCTCTTGAAGCGCAAGCACGCATTTATTCACATCCTCGAGGATGTGATTCTCGGAGACGGCGAGGAAGTCGTCGATCGTCGTTATATCATCAACAGCCTCGGTTAACACGCGAACTTGGTTTTCCCAGGCCTGACGGAATACCTCCATGTTGTCCTGTGCAACCTTGGAACGGGAGCGCGCAGCGAGAACTCGTGCTGCATTTATAACTTGGGGGCAAAGATTCTCGATCTGGGCTGCCGCGTAGCGTACCATTTTTACACCATCCTCGTTGCCCGACATGCTGCACACCAAGTTTGCAACCTGAGACAGTACACATTTTTTAGTTTAATCAACTTAGAAAACGGACATTTTCTTTACTCAAAGTTTTCTTTTACCAAAAGCATTGTATATAATGTAATACAATAGAAACAATAACGAATAATGTTTGTCCTATATAGTATAGACATGTAATTATTATCACTATTTGTTTATTAAATATTATATAATATTGTTGTAAGGATTGTATCAGTATTAGTAAAATGTGTGCACTTACCTCTACCAACTTATTTGCATGTTCTGTAAAGACAAGAGCGTATTCTTCAACTTCCTTGTCTCTGCCATTACGAGCAGCTTCGATGAGAACCAAAAGAGGTACACTGGTCTCCAAGAAGCTGTCCGAGACATGATCAACCACAGCTTTGCGCAACTGCCTTCGCAGATCTCGTGTTTTTCTGCACATGTGATCTATAGCTCTTTCTAGTCCTTCCGATTGCTCCTTTACCCCTATCTACATGGAAATTTATAAGTTTTTGAAATATTATTATTTATATTGCAATATTATTAGAGTACTCCACAGTTAAAGTTTATCAGTAGTCAAATGCATAACTTATAAACATTCTTTAAAAAATGTACTTATTACAATTGGTGTAAAAGCATATAAGAAATATTTTAAAGAAAATTTATACAAAATCTAGAATGTATTTTGAAATCTGTATCAACATATTTTTTAAATTTACTTTTAAATTATAAAAATTAAATAATAGCAAGGTGCTAACTATATGATTCAATTCGGTATTTAATATAATAGTGCATTTCCAGAAAACATAATATAAAAAACTTTGACAATAGAGTGGAAATTTAAATTTATATCAAAGGCATTTTTATTATAAATTTTGTTTGAACAGCTTTTTTGCGACTCATAAAATTAATACACACAGCACTCACTCTCAAGCAATAATAAATGTATTTTATTAGTGCCATTTAAAAAACTAAAACGAACAACCATTTAATTAGTAAATTACAATTATTCAATCCATTAAAAGGGAAAAATAATAATCAAACATGGACAGCATTTTAACATGTGTAATATAAAACTCAATTTTTACATGAAAAAGTTACTAATTATAAATATTCCAAATTATTTTGCAATTTATTAAAAGATACAATATACTTTCAAGTATTTATAAACTCCATTGTAACATCTATACAATTTAGGTACTTTTAAATGTATGTGTATTGAAAATTAGAAAGAAAATGCATCTTTGGTACTTTATTATTAAAATATTTGAATTTGTATTAATAATGCAAAACATGTACACATTTTGCCCATGACTGATGAAAATGCGGAATAATCATCAACAACTACAGTTTAGTAAGTAGACTAAAATTTAATTATGCATAAACGGACAATGCAAGGAATTTATGGGGTGATCTTGAATATTTACCCTTTTACTAGCCCGGGCGAGTTGCAACTGACCTCATTAAACAAAAACAAATTATAATTATGTCAATATGAAAATGCATCAATTAAAAATATTTAAAAAATTAAACATCATTCAAATTTAAATACGTATATATATATATATATATATATATATATATGCGTGTGTGTGCACGGGTGTGTGCATATGTGTATGCAGGGCCACGTAAAATTATGTGCCACTGTCTTTATTTTGCTTGAGTAAATAAAATTTATGAATATTATTTTATTATTTGTTTATAATAATTCAGGAAGATGTGCAAATTTTGTGGTGGTGAAAAATTTATATTACATTGTTAAAATATTTTGTTTGAAATTTTAAAAATAAAACTTTTATTTTTAAATGATAATTAATAATTAATAACATTTGATTAAATATTTAAAAAGTTCATTATATTTTAAGAACCTGAAGACATAAGTGCTTTGTAATAGTTACTTTTTTAAAGACACCGAATAATAAATGAAGTACTCACTTCCGTTTATCAAGTATGAACAGAGTAGGAGAAAAAAAAATAAGATCGTTAGTTAAAATCGAATGATAATGTAAAAAATGAATATATTAAAAAAACATTATTTACACTTTAATAATGTCATTTAAAATTAAAAATTTTAAAATATATTATTTATAGAGTAAATAATTCGAGGAATAAGTTATGAATTTAGATTTACACATTTATTATTTATCCGTCGATTCATTAAATTATTTTATAAATTTTTTTAATTTATTGGCAAGTCTTTTGCTAATAAATGGATGGCCTTTTAAAAAATGGAAGTATTTAAAAATAGCATCTTTCGTTTATAATGTATAAAAGAAAATATATTTTTGATCGAAATCATTGGTTATTGCGAATTATCATTCATTCATTATTATTATTTCTATTCCATTCTGATAGATGATTCAAAGATAAATTTTATATTATTTTTTATTAATTTAATTTTATTACATAATCTTCCAAATTGATCAAAGCGTTTACGAGGTCACTGACCATGAATTTAATAATCACTTTAATACGTTTAAATAGGATAATGAAAAAATCGTAATACAGGCCTACGTGATACAACTTCAAAGTCGAGAATCAATTGCATGATACAAAGGAATAGCGACCTAACGAAATCAAGGCGTTGGTTGACTATAGTGGACGAAGGTGTTGAAGGATAAGGGGCTAAGCCGGTTCAATCCATAATATATAAATGTGCAAAAAGGTATTTCTCGAGTTCAATCAATTTGACAAATTGAAATGAAAGTGAAATAAAAATAATAAAGAAGCTAATTCGCAATAGCCAACGTTGTGAAAAAGTGGACAGCTTATGATATACGATATGAAAGAGTGAAGAAATACATTCCACTCACGTTATTCATATATTCGCTAAGAAGATCCTGGAGTGCCTGCCTGACGGCGTTACATTCGGCGACGATGCGTTCGCGACGTTCATCACGTGTGCACGAGGAGTCCGCCATAAGAGCAGCGCCGCTTATTATACTCTCGAGACGTTCCTCGAGGCTCGGCCGAGTGCGCACTTCGTTATACGCCAATGGTGACATCACCATGCGCTCGTCGAAGTCGTCAAGAGCGGCCGCAAGTTCGCCTGGACCATCATATGGGTGTTGGTTATCACCTGGTGTCTTACCTTGCGCCACATCATTTATTGTGTTCACGGCTTCGCAGACCTATCGAAAAGCCAAGTTAATATTTCAACAAAACTGTATCAAAGCTGGTTTTGTCAGCTAAAATTTCTAATTTTATTATGACTTCTTAATGGTTTAAATTCTTTTTGTCTACTGAATATTTTTCTAAAATATTTATCTCATTATTACTGCTTAATTGTTTCATTTAAACTTTACCACTATTTAATAATGAAAGATATAAATGTCAAGAGCTTTTGATAAATTTTTAAAGAATAGTTTAATACAAATGGTTATTCAATAACATTTACCTTTGTATTAAATATACATTTTAAGATATTTTATATATTAATGTACACAATTTGAGTTCATCTATTGGAAATAAATGTCTCTTTTTTCAAAATAAATAAAAAAATAAATAACATTCAAAATAAGCAAACCTGTTTCAAGACATAATCTCTATTAGCTTTTGCCGCAGCCAGTTCTGGATGTCGTACATAGACCTTTGAAGCTGTTAATAACATGGTAGAATGTTTTTTGAGAACAGCTCGCGCAGCAGCCAGATCATCACGTAATTGCGGATCCTTCAATTCTTGTTGACGCTTGGCTGCTTGATTCATTAATTCAGATGCATTTCTACCAAATTGTTTTATGTTGTCCAAAAGTTCTCCTTGTGACGAAGCATTCTTAAGCTTTTTTAAGTCATCTTCGACTACATGAAGAGATTTTAATAATAAATGAACATCGACCATGTCCGCTAATATAAGTAGTCGTGTTACAGCTGAAAGTAAATTTCTAGCTGCGCGAACCATATTTCCTCTTTTTAAAGATGAGCAGGGATCTTCAGAAAATTCTCTGTAATAAAATGAATTTAATTTGAAAATAATTATGTTACATTATCTGACAGTATTTATATTACACCATATAAAAATAAGCAGAAATTTTAGGCTTTGTAAATAAAATAAAGTCAATTGTTATAATTAGATAAAATATGTTAGTAATTACCTGGCAGCGATACTCATAGCTGAACCTGTCTTTCTCACTTCTTCCACTGCACTTAGCATTTCAGCTGTAATGTCTGGATTCTCATAAGCAATTTGTTCTCCCTTTTCGATAAAATTTGTAGTAGCCTTTTCGACAGCTGCAACTAAAGCACTAGCTCTCTTTGATTTACCCTTTTTTTTTTTACTAGGGCCTTTTGTGCTGACTAGCGTAGTTACTTGTAAAACAAGTGGCTCTAATGTTTTCTCTACTGACATAGTTCGTATTTCTAAATTCTTGGGATCCCATTTCAGGGTAATTGGACCAAAGTGATCCGACATTTTTAGTTGCATTACTTATCCCTGTAATAAAAGATTTTTATAATTACTAGATGCTTTAAAATGCTTTTTGTTAAGTTATATTAAATAGCAATTTTATAAAAGTACTGTCTTTATTACAAAAAACTGTTTAATATTATTATATTTACGAATTATATAAATAGTATTGACAATTGTAAGAACAATGTTGAGAATTAGAAAAATTACTTTAAGATTTTTAAAATCTTTTATTATTAACAAACAATGATTATGTAATGAAATCTGTATACTTTATTTCAATTATAATAGTTGCAACAAGTTATACAAATTAAGAATTGTATGAGTCACTGTATTTATGAAATAACTCATAAATTAAAATGACTATTTTAAAAGCCCTTTCAATATTTTTTTTTTTTTTTCAAATAATGCAACGTTGATAATTATTATTTTATTTATTATTTTATGACAACAATACTCTCAAGATTTTTAAATTAACATAAACTGAATTTTATCAAAGCTGCATTTGGATAAATTCTCATCAAACATCGAATATTGCTTCTTCACTTCGAATTTTTATCACTTTATTACTTAATATCGGCCAATTTTTAACATTGACGGAGAAATGCAAATTACGTAGTCAGATAAGACAAATACTAACGCCTTCATGTGACTCATAAAGAAAAATTATTCGAATGCTACCCAATCATTACGCATTTCCGATTGAAACTATACTTAAATGCATTGTCGGAGCCCTAATTATATATTAAACTAACATTCATTAAAACCGTTCTTCACGCTTAAAAGAGATTTTTGTTTTATTGATTAATCCCATTTTCGCATGAATCATGAATAACAGAGAAAGAGATCTTGACAGTTAAATGCCTCAGGAATGTCTACCATTCTTTCCCTTTCTAATTCTCTCTCTCTCTCTCTCTCTCTCTCTCGGACAAACGAAAGCACGCACGGTCTACGATTGCTCATGTTCACTCTGTCTTACATCTCATCTATAAATGTCCTTACATACCTTCATGTAACGACGAAAAGACTGGGCCACTTTTTCGCAGGTAATATGTAATATGTTAAATAAACTGAAGGTTTTAATTTTGGCACTTGGGTATCGCCGTTTTTCAGACGTGATCGCGTCGTCGTTGTGCTATCATGGAGTACCACTCCGACTCTGCTACACACCTTTCGAGTTTTCATTCATGACGTCATGACGCCACCACTGTTAACTTAGTCTCGCTAGGCTACTTTGAAATCGGTGGGGGGAGAAAAGGTGTATTCGAGATTCGAGTAGTGCATCGTTGCATTGTTGCCAAATTTACCGCATCACAAGTTACGGTCTGTTCGCCGCTGCATTGGCATTGTATTAATATTGACAAGTAAAGTTGAGTTCTATCCGATAGAATGTAAAACACGATAAATACTGTTTGTCCAAATAAATGAACTTTAATGTAACGTAATAATTTAAGAGTAATTAACATTATAAAAATTCATTCTAGATAGCAAACTTATAGTATACCAAGTCTTAAATCGACATTGCTCTGATTCCGAGAATATATATATATATATATATATATATATATATATATATGTAACATAAATATCAATATATAATAAATATGATTAAATTTTTTGATATTAACTTAAATTCATTGTGTTGACTCAACACTTATTTGATTTATTTATGTATAATTTTTACAATTACTATAAGTATCATTATTCACAAACATATTTTAAAAATATAAAAGTGCAAAAATGTTATCAAAAATAATTAAATCACCTTATCACTTTTGCTCAATGGTAATATTTTTTTCATTTATAAATAACTTATTTTTATAATATTTTAATTCTGCAATGCTATCTTTTATGTCACCTAGGGCTCTGTGATTACCTGTTTTTCTTTGTTTTTTTTTCTCAATCTTTTTGTTCCATCGCCTACAATGTAATATAGTTATTCAAAAACTTTTCTATTTGATTAATAGTTTATTAATTAGTAATAATATAATCAATATGTTTACTTAGCCAATTCATTAATCGAAGATACATCTATTGTATCGTCAGCTATATAGTCAAATATACGTGG